TTGAGGAGGCTTTACCCGAGGGCAGGATAATGGAAGAGCTTTGCACTGGCTTGGGGGAGAGTTGAAGGGGCTGGGACTGCAACAAGCTCCTGCTAGCACCCGGACAAGGCTGGCACGTGGGGAGCCGAGCGCCAAGCTTCCCTCATCTCCCGCCCCCACGAGACATGCAGCATTTCCACACGAGCGCCTGCAGCCTGGACTGGTAGCTGGCCCCGGTGTCTGCTCCCCCTCCCCTCCCCATCCTTTGCAGCGATGACCCCATGTGTTGGTGCCCTGGCCCAAGTACTGTCCGAGCCAGCCGGATTCCCATTTAAATGGATCGATGCTGGGGCACTGCATGGGGCCCTGCTAAGCGACGCAGCGCTGGGGGACAGGACTGGACTGTGATGGAGAAAAGGCAGGAGAACAGAGGAGTTGAAAACAGTGGGGCAGACTCAGTAGGTGGGAACCTGGCTTCCACGTGCTTCCCATGGGAGTCAGGTCCACGAGTGTTACCAGGGCTCCAGGAAATCTCCCTCACAGCCTAACCGGGTCGTGGTGGGGCAACACAAGACGGAGGAAGCCGCAACAGCATCGGCAGTCACAGAAAACAAGGTGGGAAAGGGTCCTTCATAGCTCATCTAGTCCAACCCCCTGCCCCGGCGGGGGGACCAAGCCATGCCTGAGTCATCCCTAGCCAATACGGATCTAACCTGCCCTAGAGACTGCTGCAATGGAGGCTCTCCAGCCTCCGCTTCTCATCAATGCCAGTGCTTGCAGTGAGAAAGCTTTGTCAGATTTTAACCTCAAGGCTTCATGCAGGGCAGGGGTAGCAGGAAGGGGCACCACAAACACGCGGCAAGCACGGGGATCAGGGGCTAAGTGCTTCCAGCATCTGGGGAGCTCGGAGGACTCCAGGACCCTCACATCCTGCCATGGATTATTGCACTTAACTGTGGGTTAATGGTCAGGCTAATGAGGTCTGACCCGTGCTATAAAATACCGAGCAGGGGGCCTTGCGAACACAGCTTGTTTGCTGCCTCTGGCCAAGCCCTTTTATAAAGGCACTGCAGATCGGTGCCAGGCACTTTGGGTGCAGAAAGCAAAGAGCCCATTCAGAAGGGAGGCCTGGCTGTGCATCACTCCAGTGCTTGTAAGAGCAAAGGGATTAACAGAGGCGGCGAGGCCCGCACAGCCCCCACCGCTGCTCTGCTGGTCTCTGCCAGCGCCCACACGCCAGCCAGCAGCCCCTCCGGGCAGCTCAGCCAACACGGCAAAATCCTGAGCTCGCTCGGGCATGGGGCTTCCCCGCTACCTCTGGCAGCACACCCCATGCCAGGCCTCCTCTCCCCGAATATCCCCGTTCGCACCAGCCAGAGGTGGGGATTTGGTTCAAAGCCAAGATAAGAACCTCCCCACCCCAAGCAAGGCAGGGTTTCAGCTCCCCTCTTTGCAAAAGGAGTTCCCCCACACACACGCACACACCATGTCGCTGCCCCTCCCTGCAGGTATGTGGACCCCACTGCTAAAGGCAAACACTCTTCCTTCCCCTTTGACCTCAGCAATCCTCTTTGGTGCCCCCTGTGCAGTGCTAGCCTTTGACAAAGGCACCGTGCAGAAAGCACCAATGGTTGCAGTGCCCTTCCTTATACACCTGAGATGAGCCCTGCATCCCCTCCGTTTCCACGTGCCCCCGGGGCAGCACAGTCAGGCTCCCACAGATAGCACTAGAGATGGGGAGAAGGCATGAAACGTGGGGATTCCCGTAACATACAGCATAAGTGTGCACGTGCATCCGCCAGCCCCGTGCCCGCCTGCGTGCGAAAAGTCCTCGCTATGCAGAATACTTGGCCATATCGCTCTTATCAAAGACTACTTTGGTTGCAAAGTAAATGGCCACGAGGCCGAAGCCGGCGGCTGACACCATGTAGGCAGTCACTGACTGTGTAAACTGGACGATAGACCCCATGATGAGGGATGGAACAACCTGAGAGAGGAGGAAAGCGCTGTCCAGGATGGCCAGGTCCAGGCAGATCCCTCGGCCAGGTGCTGCGGAGTCCGGGTCTCCCACCATCATCATGAGCGAGACCTCGCAGGGGGAGCTGACACACAGGGCTGAGCTGGGAGCCGGCGGGGAGGAGAAGAGGCCCCCGGCATGGCCATTCTGGTAGGGCAGCTTCTGGCTGGAGAGAGGCCCTTTGGGGAGGCCTGTTTTCTTGTCCAGCTGAGCAGCATCCTCCTCCTCTTTGCTTTTGTACTTATGCAAAAATACCTGAGGTTAAAAAAAAAATGGAGATAGGGGGAAGGTGAGGAACCCCAAAGGGCAGAGCCAGAGAACGAGGCAGGCTGGCCCCATCCCAGCACTTACACAAGGCACCGCCAGGCCTGGTCAGACCCGCCCTCGCTTCAAGTTGGGCCAGCTTCATGCATCTCGGGTCAGGCTTGGCTAACGGGGATGCCGTCTGCAGAAAGCCCCAGCCACAGCAGCAGCTCCCCGAGGCAGGCCCGGCTGGCAGGGCCATCCCTGTCCGGTCTCAGGCTCAAAGTGACCCTGACCTGCTGCGGCAATCTGTCTCTGTTCAGCATGACGTGTGACCGCCACAGGGAAGCATATCAGCCCCGTGTTCTGCAGCGCAGGCGTCTTGCTCCGAGCCCCGACTGATCACAAGACTGAGAGAATCAGGTGGTGCAAAACAAACCAGATGGGTACGTGTGGGCACAGCAACCCTCTGGACCTCACTGACATGGCTCCCAACTCACCCCGGGGCAGAGAGGAGACCCAGGCACCTGGACCCCTCCTCGCTGCAGACGCTTACTTTCATACAGCTCTGTCAGCAGCAGGCCCATGAGTTTGGCTTGGTGTGTGTCTGCAGAAAGAAAAGCAGACGACACTGCCTCCCAGGGCTGCAGGAGTCCTATTTATGAAGGGCTTTTGGGAAGAGGAGCTAGGGGAAGGCAGAGAACAGTTCCAGTGTTAATAAAGCAGTGAC